AATTTTCTGACCTATTTGTTTATATAAGTTTTTAATGAAACTGAAAAGTCGCCTAACATGTAGGTGTTATACTTTACTAGTTAATTTTCGCTTTGTATCTTATATTCATATACCCATACTATAATTAGATCAAAATACTGTATATTATAATGCTATTGCTCAGAAGCCGGTGACCGTTTGTTTTTTATAGCTAAAGTAATACTTGCAAAGAACAGAGCACAGAAGAGAGACTAAGAAAAATCCATTAAAAATTAATATATTTTTTAGAGTTTAAAATTTAGTAAAGACTTATGAGATTCAAATGAGAGCTTGTCATAATTTTGACAACAGTTTGACATTGTACAAAACATCTAGAGATTTTTTAGTGTATTCAATTTGATCATTATTGCTGTTTTACTACCTCTAATAGTGAGTAATTTTGACGAAGTATTAAAAAATCATATTTAGTTTATATTTCTTTAGTTCAAGTCGTGTCATAATTCTGTCATAATTGCAGGCATATTTTCAACCCTGTTAAAAGACTACATTTTCAACAGTTTTTGCACACTTTGAAACTGTGACATTTTTACCACATTTTCTTTTCATTTTTTACATCTTTAATACGTACGTTTACTAAAAATATTTTACAATGTGCGTACCTTTTAATTTTGTGCGGCTATCACTATGTCAAACTCAATGACAGTTATAGTCAAATCTCTCGGAAAGGTTTATCAAAGAAGTCAAAATTGTGCTGCCAAAAAGCTTAGTATACAATATTTCTACAATTTGCTGTCATCTGACTTTAAATTCTTAGCGCAGTTAAAACACTTTTATCGAAATTAAAAATGTATTGGTTTGAGCTTGACGTCATTAAATTTGACATACTGAAAACCGCACATAAAGATGTGCACCAACATAAAAAGTAAAATTGTATAGTATTCTTTAATAGATTTATATATTCATTTTTCATTACGAGATTCCACAATAAAAAAGTTTAAAATTTCTAATTGTTTTCCAACCTTTTGGCCTTTTCAAATCCATAAATATTAAACTTATAAAAAAAAAATGTATTAAGAATAATAGAAGTAATTTTTGGAAAAAAATGTATTCTCTTCTCCAATAAAATATCAAAAATGCTCTTAACAACAAATGCTGTAAAATCTGGACATATGAGAATAAAATACTATTAAAATGTTGCTCCTCATGTATCCTTGAGTTACTGTTGCTTTGCCGCTCGCAGCAAAATGAAACATTTGGGATAGAAAAAATTGCATACCTTCATATAACATATGTGTGGTAGTGTAGTAAAGTAAAATATAGGAGAGCAAAGAAGCAAGGAAAAAGGAGACGGAAAAAATTCAGTGCACTAAAAAAGAAGAATTCACGAAAAAATTCCGCAACTTGAGAATGGCATGAGTGGCACTGGACGGCCACTTTGGTGTGAGTTGGATAAAAATGAGAGAATTTTTTCGCCAACTGAGAGCGTAGCAGCAGCAACAACAACAGCGACCATGTGTAAGAAGTGCTTTACTTTATATACAAAAATAAAAATTTAGCCAAAGCAAAAACCAACGAATAAATAAAGAGAATGCTGGAAAAAATTGTGGCACTTCCACTAATGCAATTTTTGCGGCAGCGACTGGCATGCGGACTCATCGGTGGCCAGCGAAAGGCAGATGGATGGCGAAAAACTGCGAGGAGTTGCTACCCGCTTCAAAATTATTATGTATATAAAAAACGCTATTTATTTATTTAGTTTTTTTCTACATTGCCTCAGCCATTTTTATTTTATACCACTACTTTTATATTATTTTTACTCGAGATTAGTGAAGTGGATTTCGAGCGCTGTGGTCACCAGTTTCTGGAAGGCGGCACGAGGAATTAAAATTATTGAGGAATTATCGAACAGAATATATACTTAAGCGACGAACCAAGCAGGCGAGCAACCGAGCGACCACTCGAGTGGGTCTGGCGGCAGCAGGAGCCAAGCTAAAAAGAAAGACAACGCTAAGCGTGGATAGTCTATATTGCAAAAAAAAAAAATAAAAAATGACAACAACAAATGGGATGAGCAAATAGTTATATGCATATACCTTTGGCGCAATAAGCATTTGGTGGTATTGGTGTGAGTGAATATATTGGTGTGTGTGCCTTAGAAAACGCACACATGTACGCATAAAAGTCGAAAGAAAAATAAGCTCGGAAAAAATTGGCTGAAATGCGATAAACTCACACTCAAACACACGCAGCTGTTCCTAGGCATTCCTGGTATATTTAGCTTTCCAACCCGAACTTACACCCATACACACAGTCAAACCAACAGAAAATTTATATATTGATGGATATTAAATTCCATTGCCGGAGTAATGAGGCCGAGCTATAAAGTTTGCTCGGCTTGCGGTGACATTACGAAATGTGGAAGATTGGTTTCGGGTCGTAAGCATTTTTAAGTGCAAAACTGAGTGCACGGCAAGTGTCCTGCACCATATCCTACTTTATAAATTATACAACAACACACCTATATATACATGCTTATATATATATATATATATATATATATATAGAAGCACTTATGTATGTGTTTGTTCACATAGATTTTCCACTAACTGCTATTGGTTTTGCATAGCAGCTTTCCTGCGCCTGTGTATATGCATTATGTGAGGGCTTGCTGTGTTAGCAGGGTGTTGCTGATGTGTCTGCTATAAAAATGCGATTACACTGCAACGGTAAATGATATCGAAATTCATTTCCAAAATGTAATTAAAATTGAATTTGATTGCAATTTGGTTGCAGTGAAGAGGAAACACAAATGCTACGCGCTTATGGATGAGCATCTACTGCTGCACATGCCAGAGCTGGGATAATACCATGTGCTTATTTAGTTTAGGATTTGATGTAGTATGAATTTAAGTGGCTAATTGCATTTTAAGAATACTTCTAGAACATTTTTTTAAGAAAAGTATGTTTGACTTGTTTTATTCACTAAAATATTGATTTATTACTTAATGGAAATGGAGTATGTGGTTATTATTATATATCAAATTACATAACTTCAAAAAAATAAAAATAAAGAAAATATGTTAAATTGAAGCTGCAAAGCACCAAAGTTATGCTACCCTTCACAGGTGTATAATTTATGGCATGAAAGGGTATACAAATATCTTTCTCTTTATTTTGATCGCTCGGTTTGTATGACAGCTATATGTTATAGTTGACCGATCTGAATAATTTATTTGAAGATTATACCGTTACTTGTGACAATAAGCCATACCGAATTTCGTGAAGATATCTCGTCAAATGTAAAAGCTTTCCATACAAGCGCTTGATTCCGATGGTTCAGTTCATATGGCAACTACATGCTGTAGTGGTCCGATATCGGCCATTCGGACAAATGTGCAGTTTCTTGGTGAAAAAAGTACAGGCGCCAAAAATCAGATCTTTATCTCATAAACTGAGGAAGTAGTTCGCATATATACAAATAGACAGACGTACGGACAGAGAGACAGATAGATGAACATGGTTAAAATGACTCAGCTCATCATGCTGATCATTTATATACTTATACTCGTATACCTTGTAGGGTCTTCTACGTTTCCTTTTGGTTGTTACAAACTTCGTGGCAAACTTAATATACCCTGAACAGTGTATAACACAACGTTAACTTTGACTACGCGAAAGCGATAATACCCTTAACAGTTACCTTTCTTATAGCAAAGTGTGTAAACAGATTTTTATTTTGATTTTTATTGATCGTATGCTATAGTGGTGGGATTTTATAAATTTCTTCGAAGATTTTACGGTTGCTTTTAACAATAATTCATGCTAAATTTTGTGTATATATCTTGTAAAATAAAAAAGTTTTACATACAAGGACTAGATTCCGATCGATCAGTTTGTATGGCAAATAAGGTTGGCCTATAACCATTTAAGTTAAATTTTATGGCAACTTTTTTCTAAAAAAAAAAATGTGGAAAACGGTTGGCCTCAAGGGCCATCCCTGCAACTTCCCTCTAATTTCATACGCTAACGTTCAAATTTCGCTTTTTTCACTGCTTTTGAGATCTTCGAAATTTTTCGTTTTCGATATCTAGCAAGTAAATCAACCGATTTCGACCCGGTTTGCGGCAAACGATGTGTTTTTTCAAGGTTTAGAACTGATTAGTTTTTGGTGTCGATCGGTCAAGTCGTTTGGAAGAAATTCGATTTTTCAAAATTTTTATTTTTGAGATTTCTCAAAATCTACTGGTCCGATTGGGTCCAAACTCACACGAAAGTGCAATGAAACCCTTTGGAATGCCGTTTAGTTTATTCAAATCGGTTGAGCCGTTTAAAAGTTATAAGAGGGTCGCATACACACACACACACACACATACATACAGACATACGGACATCATCGTAGAAATGTTCGGGGAAGCGATTTTTGCAAAATGGGGTGAAACCAATATCTTCCCGATTTTCAGAAAATTTTCAATTTTATTAGCGGGAAGTTAAAAATAATTTATCTGCGGTTTTCATTCATTTCTGATTGGTCAAGTGAGTTTCTTTCGGATGAAACTGTTCTTTATTTGAGCAAAATTTTTCTATCAAGGATTTTAGTTAGCAGGGCAATATTTATGTATGTGGTCTACTTGTACATAGCGTTCATTCATAATAATCTTCCTCAAGTTTCAAAACTGTATGTTCTTGCACTGTCTAAAATTTGGCCATGCAAGCATAAGCCTTTTCTAACCTTCACAATGCTTCCGCACACAAAACTTGGTTCTAAACACAAAATTGATGCAAATTCTTTGTTCACTATTTTCTTCATTATGCTGTTTACAAATAAGCAATGCAAAATTGTTAAATACATTTTGAGAGATATCGATTGCAGTGTCATCTATTAGAAATATCTATGATCGAAGTTTTCTTTGATAAAACTGATAAGAGATCCCACAATAAACTTTGAATTACAAATAAAGAATAACTTTGCAAATTAAATTTCTTGCAAAATTGTTTTAAAATATAAATTCTTATGAACTTACCGACTATATGCAACATATCCTTGGACCATTTCATGAGTTCACGTTTAATTAAGCGACGTTCTTGCAGACATCTGGCATACGAGCATTCCGCCATGATTTAACCAGCTAAAACTGTTTGCTAAGTAATCTATATGTTATATCTTGTATATGTATATATGTTTATGTTTTAATCACTGAGTTTGTTAGAAAATCACTGGGTGCTGCGAAGAAGTATTAGCGGCGTATTAGCAAATCGGTGGGCGAAGGGCGCTAATTATTCTTACTGTCATGGCGAGCATTTGCAGTTGTTGTTGGGCATAAGTCCAAATAAAGGGTTGTGAAAAAATATTTTGATTTCGAAAATTTTTTTTTAAGTTAGTAATGTAATATAATGTTTTTTGTTTTAGTTTTTAAAAAAATTATTATTTTTTTTTTTATTAAAAACTTTTACTTTTTAAAGAGAATTTTTATTTTTAGCTATCAAATATTAATAAATATTTGTTAATATTTTCGTTCTTCTAAAAAGTTTTGAACACATTTGGTTTAAAGCAATTGCATTACTGCACACATACAGACAAATTTATATATTTGCATAATATTTATGTTTGTGAGTTATTTGCAATAACGGTTTGCGTGTGGCCTTGTTGCAAGCTTTCGTAAGTATCAATTTCCGGTTATTTCCTGATTTGTTGTCGACACATTTTGGAACGTTTCAAGTGGAATGTGGCTGCTGCGTGGCTGCTTTGATTTATTACTTAGCAAACGCTGCTAATGTTGTTGTTCTTATTGTTGATTATATCTGAAAAAAAAACAAAAAGCAAAGAAAAATAGAAACCAGCAAGTTATGAATATTGCTTGCACAACGCAATTAATATATGTAATATTTATATTAGAGAAACAACAACAAATACAACAACTAATTTCTATTTTGGACCAGCACAACTCAATTCAGATGACTGTGGCGAGAAGGAGCGAGATCAAGGGTAGGGTAATCGCATAAAATAAGCGTGTTGTTGACAGCCGTCTTGTTACACGCTTACAACGCAATACAAGCTGCGACAATGCCAGTGAAAATGCTTAACCAACCCAGCAAGCGCATAAAATATCAAGCGAAATGCATGCAGCCAAGAAATGAATAAATAAATTAACGAAACAAAAAAGCGAAAAAAGCAAACACGAAATAAAGAACGCGAAAATAATTTTTATTAAAATCCAGTTGCATAAAAATAGCGTAAAACCAGATTTGCAATTCAAGGTGAATGTGGAAACAAAATACCGTGGCAACGAAAACCGCCGCGACAGCCGAGCACCGCGCTCGCCACGCGTGCTGCCATATCGAGCGCCGCTTTACACGCCCATGTTAACGAATTGGTGACAACAACAACATTTTACAAAGCGACAACATGTAGCTTAATTTTGTTGTTGTTGTTTTTATGCTTATTGTTGTTTTTTTATTCTTTTTATGTTTTCTATTATTTTTGTTGTTTTTCATTTTTTATTGTTGTTGTTGCTGTTATAATTAAAATTACTGTATTATTTTTGTTGTTGTTGCTCACAACCATTATAGTTCTAAACGTTTCAGTTCACTTGATTTTTTTTTTCTCAATTTATTTATTTTCTAATTTTTGTTTTTGTTAACTTTAGCCGCTTCCGTTCAGCGCCCGTTCGCTCGCCACAGGTTTTCGGCTGTCGCTTTCGGCGTGTCTCAGCGGCGGCGTGTCTGTCGGTCGATCGTTTGTCTTGCCATTGAGCGATCTTTTTATCATCGTTTATACAAAGCCATGTTGCTATTGTTGTTGTTGTCAAAACTATCAAGCGAAAACACACACGAAAATGGGCAAACAAGAACAACAAACTACAAAAAAAAACAAAAAAAAAAAACAAACGAACAAAAAGCACGAGTGCATGAATAAAATATCAATATTTATAAATATGTACATATATTTATATATGTATATGTGTATGTATGTACGTGTGTATATATAAATTTGTAAATAAATAGCTCATTCTTTCGTGTTTGTGTGCTTATGTGAAGAAATAAAAATAAATTAGAAATTGTAGCGAAAAGCGAGAACAACAAAAACGTTTCACCTGTTTTTGTTTTTGTTTTTGTTGTTGTTATTGCTGGTTGCTTAATTCTAATTCCGCGTCGAATTGCCGCATTTTGTTTAAATTAATTTATGATAAATTGCAGCAACAAGTGGCGTGATGCCCATATGCGCACAGTGGTGTTGTTTGAGGGGGTTGAAGAGCAAAGTGTGAATTTCATTATTTATTTTATGTAAATGTGCAATTAAAAGTTAGGGGTGTGTAAATTTGGTATTTAAAAAAAATCTAAATTTATATTAATTTTATCGAAAAAAAAAAAAAATTTTTATGGTTTTGAATTTTTTCTTTTTAATAGATTAGCGCTATGGAAGTATGGAGTTATACAAAGAAAAATAATTTCTTATAATCGCCAATTACTTTCTCAAAAATGCTTCATGAAACTTAACTTTCGGCGACTTCCAGCTCATTTTCGAAATTCATTCCGATTAATTCTACGTTTGGGTGATTTGTGAGTGAATGCTGTGGTGTAAATTGGCCGGAACTCTATAAAGGCCTAATGTTCAAAATTTATGTAGAAATCGTTTTAAATGTATCGATGTTTTTTTTTTATCTTAAAATCGAAACATATCTATAAAAAGATCATTCAATAATAAATTTAACTTTTACCTGAATAAGTCAAACAACCCAAATAATTTTGTTAAATATCATGTATTTTCTCATTTTCGGCCTGCATTTGCGAGCAGAAATTATAATTGATTTGTAAAATATATAGAAAATAATCGATAGCTCTTCCAATAAAAATAAAATTGCTATATTAAGCATATTGCGGTGATTGCTTTACAAAAGTTTGGCTAAAGCTCAAATGAAATTTACTTATTTTTTCTCTAAAATTTTTTATTATTTGAGAATATTTATAAGTATACCGCACTATTGATTAATCCCGATTGTCAACAATTGATGACAGAAAGAGAAGTGGTCGTCCTCGCGTGGTTTGAAGCAATTCAGTCATAGAAACAGTTCGCGAACACATTCGCAGTAATAACCTTAGAAAACAGAAAATTATGTCAAGAGAAATGGATATATCGACCAGATCAATATCAAGCCTCACTCGTGATAATTTCCACATGAAAGTCTACCGTCGGTCAACTAGTCATCTTCTGACAGCACGCTGGAAGCAAATTGTTACTCCTCGTCATTTTTGTGGGATATTATTGTAAATAAAACTGGGACAAAAGTGTACCAGCAGGTTATTGAATAAGCCATGGTAAAACATTTTAGCAATACTATCTGCACTGGAGAGCATTGGCTCTTTCAGCCAGATGATGCTCCAGCGCACTAGACAAAAATCACACAGCAGTGGCTTAAAAGCAATATTCCTGGTTTCGTAGCAGCAAATGAATGGCCGTCTGGAAGCTCGGATTTGAAACCATTCGAATACACTTTGTAGTCAGGATTGGAAAACATGATCTGGTGAATAACCAAAAGAAAATTAAAAAGTCTAAAATCATTGGTTCGTACAGCGTTGTTAATACCAAAATAAACTGTGCGTGCTGCTATTGATAAATGGCCGAATCGCTTGAGGGCTTTTGTAAAACCAAAAGGTGGCTATTTCGAATAAAATTTTGCAGATTGCTCGTTTTATATATACTTTATTAAATTAAATTAACTTTATTGAAATATGTGTTATAGTTTGATTCTTATAACAACCTGAACTTATAACAGAACTAATGGCAGGACTAAGCATAAACGAAAATTATGATAAATCGACAAGAAGTAGTTTAATAGAAATAGTAAAGTAATAGTAAAAAGTCAATGAAATATAAATGAAAGTTTCAATAAATCAATCAAAAATTACAATACTAGACAACTAATCAAGTAGGCACTAAAGACTATAAGTAAATAATTTAATTAAAATTACTAATTAGAAAATATTTGTATTATGATATGAAAAAACATTGCACACAATTAATTGAAAATTTTTTTTTTTTGAAAAATTAATTTATTTGTTTTTTTTTATAAGAAAAATTTGGAAAAATCACCACTTTTTTATTTGTTCTGATTTTCAGAGAAATAATTCAATTTTCGATAACTCCTTTATTGAAATATCTGTTAGAAAGATTATAATATAGTATAAAAAATGTTTACAAAAAAATAAACAAATAAATTTATTTTCTACTTTAAATATTTTTGAGGTAATAATTAAATATTGTATTATCAAAAAGTTCACGGAAAAAGTAATGTTTTAAAATTTATTTAATTATGTTTTAATATTTATTTTTTTATATACAATTTATGTACTTTCATTTTATTGTGTCGAATTCCATAATTCCTTAGTATGTTGCATTTTACTTTAAAATATACTAAAAAATGTTCTAAATTTTTGCGAACCTAAAAAACTAAAAATTTAGCCAACTAAGCCACTCTCCAAGCCTCTTTTTTTGGTTTTTTTTTTATAGTTTTTCTCATTATCTATTTTCCTTGCTGTTACTTACATAATTATTTCTTCTTTATTATTTTGGAAACAACAACAAGCTAATTATTTAAAAAAAGTCACTGAAAGTTTTTGTTTTGAAATTTTTTTATTCACTTTGTTTATTTTTATTTATTTTTTTAATTGATATTAATAATGCTATTTTTTTTCTGAACTACATTAAAGTTTAAAAATTAAGACAAAAATCAAATAATTAATTCAAGTATCAGATAATTAAATACTTCTCCACAACTGCCTTAAAAAAATTCAAAATTTTCGCAAACTAAACCACTGTGCAAGCCTCTAATGTTTTTATTGTTATTTTTATATTTCTGATTATTCGCTTTCGTTGCTGAAATTCACACTGGTGAGGGAGCGGGCGCAGCGTATTTTTGCTATTTTTTAACATTTGTCACAGCATGTTGCTGTTGTTGTTCCACCATTTCATTTGGGCTTGTGCTTGTTATGTGGTTTTGCATTTTTATTTTTGTTGTTTTCATTATTTTCTTCTGTCAACAAATTGCTGTCAATTGGGAAACTGTTTGCATATTAATGAATGCACTAGAATTTATTTGATTTCTATTCCGTGGAATTTTTTTTAAACGAAAATAAATAGTGCAAAAATACATCAGCATACATACAAACACACCTAAGCGTGTAAGTAACTTATATACACACAAATATATACTGCTATGTGCTTGCGTGTGTATGCAGTATATTCTCGTGGATATTTTCATGCATCGGCGTGCTTTATAGCGTTGCACTTTGGAGTTTTGCGATTTCAGTTGCAATTAAAATTCAATAAACATTTAATTTAACATTTTACAATATCTTTGTGTGCTTGTTTATGCATATGCATATACATATACATATGTATACGTACATACATAGGCGAATGTATTACGAAAAGCCGTTGTGCAGGTTTTTTAGAATTTTTCTATTTTTGCAATTTTAACTGGAAAGTCAGTTAGCCAACGGACCAGTTTGATTATCTAAATTGGGTTTAAGTGCATTTTGCATTTTGTATTTTTTGCTTTTGTTTGCAAAGGTAATAATTATGGCGGAATTATTTAAGAACCCCTTTTATTGTGCAACAAAATACCTAGTAAAATCCATTTGTGGAACACGAAGCATTTATTGGAAAAAGTGGGTTTGGAAATTCTTTTTCGGGTTATTATTATGAGTGGGGTTTTCTAACAGCTAATCAGTAAATGTAGGTGTTAATTTCTTTTTTTATTGCTGTGTACACATATATTCCCAGGCTGATCTACCTGCTTGCC